ATGCACTTTCAAATTCCTACCATCTTTAAACCTCTTTCCACAATGTTCACATTCATATAGCGTTTCTCCTGTATGTGTTCTCAAGTGAACATTCAAACCGTTTATTTGTTTAAATTTCCTTTCACAATGTTCACATTCATATGGCGTTTCTCCAGTGTGTATCCTCAGATGTGTTTTCAATGTGCTGCTGTTCTTAAATTTTTTTCCACAATGTTCACATTCAAATGGTCTCTCTCCTGTATGCACCCTCAAATGTATATTCAAATGACAACTGTGCTTAAATGTCTTCCCACAATACTCACATTCAAACGGTGTCTCCCCTGTGTGCACTTTCAAATGTGTTTTCAAATGGCAACTTTTTTCAAATTTCTTTCCACAGTGTAAACACTGAAATGGTGACACTTCTGTTTTAATTTCCAAATGTGTTTTCAAAGTAACTAAATCAAATTTCTCTCCACAATGTTCACATTTATATTTAATCTCCTCATTGTTCATTTCCAAATGTTCCCGTGGAATGCTTGTTTGTTCATATTCCTCTTCTATTTCAATCGCATTTTTCTCCTCATGTTTAAATTTACCAGGGAAAAACCTCAACATTTTGATTTACAGCATTATACTGACCTGAAAAATATAAATAAAACACTTAGTGTTTTCAACAGCTGGTGAAACAAGCACAACACCTCTGTTTTATACTGTATGTGCATTATTATTAACTGCAAAATATTTTATGTCGAATATTCACCAGAGATCCAGAGATCAGATACAGTATATATAGATACAATAAAAAGAATAAAATCCACAAATTTTATAAACTTGTGTCAACCAAAATTTCTGAATTATGTTTCAAATTCAGATGCATTATCTCTTCAGATTGTGACATGCTGCAACTTCTATCAAAGAGAATTGTTGAGTGGGGCGGGTGCAGGATTTGGCGGTAGAGGGTAAGTGAGAGTCCACACCCCCTGAGCCCTACCATGGTTGGGGCTGTGGTTTGAACATTTCAAGAATATGGACCCCTAGGTGCCCGAATGAACCAAGATATTGAGGCAACTGTATTCAAGAAAGAAATGAAAACATATGTACATCAGAAAAACAAGTTTAAGAAGTTTATTATGAAAGAATTGGTAATAAGATATTAGCCATTAATTCTTGGTAAAATCTCCTTCACTCCTGCCGGTGGGAAAAACAAAAAATTTGAGGACACAAGCACTTTTTTGTTTGAAAGTAACAAAAGAATCGTCACCTCCTGTTTTATAAGTAAGCCAACCATGCAGTCCAAAGCAAGTTTTAATGTGAATATGTCTTAGATTCGACGAGAGTAATATTAAACATGTTAGAAGTACTGCTGTCAGTGATACCATATCGACAGCTGGAACAATATTAATAGTTCAATAATTATTATTTAAACTGTTGTCTCTATACTGTTGTCGGTCGTACATTCTTTATATTAAATCGAATGTAATCACATTCAAAGTATCACAGGCATGCCTAGAATCCGTCATGACCCTTTATTACACTACTATGAAACTATACCTAGGCCTACGTTTGGGTAAACTAGTTCAAGTTATGGCGCTAGGCCAGGCCCTGTAAACCGTACCGGCGTTGCTCGGTACGGCAAAATACACCTTCTTTTAGGCTTGGTCACGTTCGTTGCTTATTAAGGTAGGCCTAGCCTGCTCTTGCATGATGGCCTAGCTTACTGGGCCTAAAACTTACCAGAGACATTAAAATACAGAATGTTCTATACTGTGATAAGGACATTCCGTAAATGACCAAGTCAAATACCTTGGAAGCTTTTCGCAAACTAGGCTAGGCCTAGAACTATTGTCTTTGTCCTTCTCCACACGCCGCAAAACACCCCGCCACCCGTCGTACGTATGCAGAAAATCAAGGTTTGCGAATTGCCGCTCAAAACCGCAGCCTAGAATTAAAAGTAGCTCAAACCTAGTCGCACACTGTGGCAAGAGCGTGATGATTACATTTGTATAAGAATTTCATGATTAATCTTGGCAACAATCCGTTTCCCAAATGAGAAAAAATTCAAGTTGATACCTGTTTCAAAAAAAGAAAGAAAAAAAAAGGTTTTATGGTAAAAATAATATGAATGTCACTCCAAAAATTGAAAAGGCCATATTTTTATTCTACGTTTCGCTTTTATAGTATGACATAATCATTATTCCTATGAGTACTCATTTGACAGTAGCATTTGTTTTATAACAAACTATTACTAAGATCTTAAAGCATGGACCTATTAATAAAAGTTACGTATATTGTAAGTTATTGTATAAAATAAATTAATTTAAGTGGCTACGTTCACTCTATTATAAAGGAGGCGTCTAGTCTATTAACTTTATCATTCTAAACCGGTTTCAAAATTTAACAGGTTCATCAGGTTGGAGTTATCAATTGGATTAACAGTAGACCTAATCAACATACTGTAATCAGGAAACAACTGGAATGATGCATTGATAACACCACTTTTACCGAAGATACTCTAGGTCTATTTAAATACAGACCTAGAGTACTAAGATATTATTAATATTCACAACAGTGCAGTTAATAAAAATAGGCATATCTCACTTTTTTGTGAGGCATGTGTGGGCAGATTTAAAAAGTCAGAATTATCCACACTACACTAGAGAACTCATTTGTTCAACGAAGCTTCTCTTACCAAAGTAGGCCTATTCATGCACAATAAAATTAGCAAAGAAAACATCCTTTGGTATCTTAGGAGAATATTTTGACATGTCTTTGGCTGTTTTATTTAGTAGGCGTGTTTGCAGAAGCTCAGTCATTATTTAAAAAAATTAATAATAATAATAATAATAATAAGTAAAAATGGGCATAGGCCCTATCTCACCAAGATCTCACATTTTTGGTGAGGCATGCGTTGGCAGATTTAAACAAGCAGAATTAGCCACACTACACTAGAGAGCTCAATTGTTCAACGAAGCTACTCTTACCAAAGTATTCATGCACAATAAAATTAGCAAAGAAAACATGGTTTGGTATCTTAGGAGAATATTTGACATGTCATTGTTGGGTGTGTTATTTAAGCGTGTTTGCAGAAGCTCAGTCATTCTTGATGAAAAAATAATAAGTGGCACTCTTGTCTTCGTCCTTAATCGGACACTTTCTGTACTTTTAATATAATTTCAAAATGAAGATCACCGTCTGTTTGCTATTAACGATTTTCCTGGCGATTTGTCTTGCTCTACCAGCAGACGATAAACCCACTCTGGTAAGTTTTACTAACAAAACATTATTTGTCTGAATGCCGTGCTCTGGTTATGTGTACATTCGCTCGCACTCCAAAGAGGCGTTTCATACCAGCTTAATTTGGCCGGTCGTCCTCCCCACCATAATTCTTCCTCCGTATCCCACCCCAATCAAATTTGAATACTCCTATGCCACTGACCCTCTGTTGCAGTTGTCCACGTTGTCTACAATATGAAATTTTATGTGACAAAAAATTTGATGTGCCCATATATGGGTACGATTACGTCATATCACATACTATCAATCAAAAAAGTTAAACGTGTTCAACTCTTATTTTCCATCACATTTTTGTGACTCTTTTTTTTAATGAAATTTGATATTGTAGACAAAGCTTAAAGATAAACCATAAAGTTGTTATTTGAAATGTTCTAGTAATTTACAAACTAGAAAACAGCGGGTCTATCCAAGAAAGACATGTAGGATTACGGGTTTTAAAACATAGTACCGGTACTGTCTTTGAATTACGAGTTCAGTTCAGTTCAGTTTCTCTTTATTGTCACGTAAAAGTTCACATGAAATTCTTTTCCCAAGATTAAGAAGCAGTACACCATATACACAGATATAAATAGATAAAAAGTGCTAAAATAAAGATACAATTCATTAGTTAATAGAAAAATAATAATAATAATAATAATAATAATAATAATAATAATAATATTATTATTATTATTATTATTATTATTATTATTGAGTTTGCCCTTAATGAATGCAACAACTTTATAACATAAAAATAATGTAATGTAATTTAACTTTAATTCAACACTAACAGTGTTGAATTTGAAAGTGTTTTATAGTACTGTATACAATTTGAGGACTGGTTTAAGGTATAGGCCGTAAATCAACCACGTAGGCCCGGAACTTAATGTCAGTAATGATTAGGAGCTCTTCTGGGTCTGACGACATAGTTGGAAAAGCAGATGTCCACATGATGGACTCGAGACGGTCAATATTTATAGAACTCTCGACTGCAGTAAAAAGAAGCCAGTTTGTATCCCTAATTAAGAAGGAAGCCTATAAAACTCCGTATACTACAATATCTGCATATCTACACATTTTCAGAATCGTCAAAATGTACCAGGCGGAAACATAGTAGGAGAATGAGAAAGAGGAGAAAATTGAGAAAGATTAAAAAAAACCCCAAGGAATGAGGATGAGGAGTAAGAGAAAAAGAAGAACCCAATTATAATGTAACGCTGATCAATAGCGTATCTTGGTGTTTTAAAGACTGTCAACTTTAACATTCCAAAATAATCAACGGCAGACGGGTGGATGTGTAACCTTCTAGGATTTATTATTTTACTATAATTCACTCATCGTAAACAAAGATTATAAAGGAATAATGATGGGTATTTATAATACGATTGTGACCAGAGATGTTTGAGATACTTTCCCAATATTTATCCTCGTGATCTAATGCAACAATAACACCCCGGATACCAATAGGCCTTTTAGTAAACACCCTGCAATTTATTAAGTGTAAAAAGATGAACAAAGCATTCATAACACGAATAATTCACGGACCTCCGCTTGTTATAGATATAGGCCTAGGCCTATGAGATTAAAATCCATGAAGGCATTTTCCAGAACATATCATATTATAAGTATTATAACACCATTATTTTATTCCATTTCAGAAACGGCGAATTGCAAGTCTGAAGAAAACGACAGATACCGGTACGTTCATAATTATAATGAGACGATAATGTTTAGAAAAAATGAAACATTACATTCCCTTAGATGATAACCTGGCAACTACCACTGGGAACTTCCAGAAGCCTACGCACTTCGAGTATACGTAGTTATACGTTATACCAATATGCGCGTGGCCCTCTATTTGACTTCAGGATGACACTAGCTAACTGCTACCTCCACCCCCTCCCACTTCCTCCCTTTGTGAGTTGTCAGAGGTTGGTGGCGCTGTTTATGACACACATAGAAATTAGTGACTTAACTATGTTTATTTTGAATTATATTTTTCATTCATGTAGGAAATTTGAACGCAAGATCATGGTACTGCCAATACTTTCCATGGATGTGTGGTTCGTACTTGCTCATATTCATACACTAAATTATATTTTAAATTATTAGTCCAGTAGGAAATGTAGCGTATAATTAGCATATATAGCTAGATTATAATAATAATACTAACTTTATTTGAAAACTACACTTTTCAATCAGTGGCACACGTCATGCGGTGCGTTCACAATAAAACTATAGACCACATACGAAAAAAAAAAACGACATTGGTGCATTCTCAGCTCAGATGCATCACAGTGTAGTTTAATGTTCCACGCAACGTCAAATTCGCATAGGCCTACTGTAGTATATGCATATTAACAATAAACAAAAATTATCCCAGAAAAAGGTTGTAAAGATAACCAGTTTACATGTGACAACGACAAGTGTATCCCATGGCACTGGGAATGTGACGGCATTAATGACTGTGGCGACAACAGTGATGAAAATAATTGCGGTAAGAAGGCATGACAGCCACACCTTTTTGAAATATTCAATCTCAAAGACTTGCACACAAAAATATTTGATGAATAACATTATACATACGTTTTTATTTACTGGTGTCTATTCTACACCAAATAAAAAAAATTGTTTACAGAATTTGTAATAAAAAAAAAAACACCAAAAATGTTGAATATTGTACTTGCCGCCCTTTTGAAGGTCGGTTATTATAATCGCAATAAAAGTAATAATAAACGTAAATATACTATCCTCAAAGTTTGTAACAATACCGTAACCAGTATGCTTGTGATAATGGTTAAACTGTATCCAATCTAACTGGGAGTGTGACAACATTAATGATTGTGGTGACAATAGTGACGAAGACAATTGTGGTGGTAAGAGACACATTTTGTAGAAAAATTAAGATTTTTCGTTTTAATATCTAATGAAAAATTAAAAAAATTAAAATATTAAAAATTAAAATATCTAATGAATAACATTATACACCGTTAATAATACATTTTTTAAAATTAATATTTTAAAATGATATAACGATATGTGATTTACAATTAATATAGCTCATATTCATCGCTCGCAGTGCACTCAACACCATTACTGCCTTCAGTTTAAATTCTTTCTCATGTCGTTCGAGTATATGTCTCACGCTATAGAAGGGAAATAGGGATTAAATTTTCATATTCTGTACAGTAGATACACGTATTATTATACATTTTCATACAAAGGTTGTAAGAATAACCAGTATACTTGTAACAACGGCAACTGTATCCGATCGAACTGGGAATGTGACAACTTTGACGACTGTGGCGACAACAGTGATGAAGACCACTGTGGTAAGAAGATAATGTCACACGCTTTTAAAATATAAAGATTTAAATAATCAATTATTTCCCTTTTGTTACATTTTAGTAACTTATACATAAAATCGTCGCTCACATCACGAACTAACACAATCAAAGTAGATTGTGTTAGTTCGTGAAATCACAGTAGCGCGTCAAAACGAGCGCGTATTGGTTGTCAAGCAATTTTCTATTCTTTACCACACAAAAAGTCCTTATACGTATTTTGACGCGCTTTTTTGATTTCACGAACTAACACAATTGAATTTAATTGTGTTAGTTCGTGATGTGAGCGACGAAATATCTGAGTGTTGAAATTATAGTAATACACCTTTAATAATAAAATAAAAACAACAGCAACATCTTCAAATATATACTTTTGCATATTCTTTAACACACTGATAATAGTTAGCAAAATAAAACGTTTTAACGCAAGAGATCCTGAATTTTTAATTATAATTAATAATTATAATATTATTTGCCATTAATATTATATTGTAATTGTACTGTATATTTATACTCCAGGGTGTCAATCTAACCAGTTCACTTGTGATAACAGTAACTGCATTTATGATTTTTGGGAATGTGATAATTACGACGATTGTGGCGATAACAGCGATGAGCAATATTGTGGTACGTATAATGTTGTATTAAATGATTATATACTATATAAATGTCTAATGCATAATTAACATCGTGTGCCGCCCTCTTCGTCATTAAAATTTTCAAAATATACGCACACATTCAAAAAAAGAGTAAGAGAAGCTATATTGTATAAGCTAATTGTGTATTTATGCTCCAGGGTGTGAATCTAACCAGTTCACTTGTGATAACAGTAACTGCATTTATGATTTTTGGGAATGTGATAATTACGACGATTGTGGCGATAACAGCGATGAGCAACATTGTGATGTGTATAAGAGACAGTATATATATATTCAATTTCAAAGTCTTGCACAAAAATACCTAATGAATAACATTATACACCGTTGATAATAGATTTTTATTATATCACAATATAATACCACAATATAAAACCACGACTCTGTTAATTAAAGTGGATACAACTGCACATTTCTTGTATTCATGTATTATTATCGAAATTTCTAACAGAATCAAAATCATCATCTTCTGGAGACTTCTTATCGAGTTATTCTTCGGCTTGTGGTGATACGGACTTCATTTGCGACAGTGGTTTGTGCATCACCACCGAATTGAAGTGTAACAACTACAACGACTGTGGTGATAACAGTGATGAAATAAACTGCGGTAAATAGTCCAACGTCCATGTTCATTTTGATTACAAATGTATTCTTTTTAGTAAAAACACAGCTTTTAAATTATTTAAGGCAGTCTAGATATTTTAGCCGTATGAGTCGTTCGTCCCATTTTGAGACGAACGACTGCTGGGACGAAGGACTGCTGTTAAGGTTGACCAAACTTAACTGCAAAATCAGTGCCATTATCAAATTGACAACCACTACGTTTCTTGTATTCATGAATTATTATCTGAAATTTCTAATAGAATCAAAATCATTTTCTGGATATTTCCCACCGAGTTCCTTCATGTTCATAATAAACTTGACATTATTGTGATAAAAAGAGTTATATAATATTATTTAAGGTAGTCTAGATGTTTTGATTCGTTCGTCTATTTGGTGGCAACAGATTAGCTCCTACTGAGAAAACATCCGTACGGTACCTGGATTGGCTGCACCCTTAACCCCCCAACCCTCGGGTCACTTTGTCTAGTAATGTACTGTAAACCTACTTTTTATTTAATTTATTTATTTATATTTTTTTTTTGCAGATTGTCAAGTAAACGAATTCACGTGCATCAATAAAGACTGTATTGCGGCAAATTTGGAATGCAACGGTGAACAAGATTGTTCAGACAATAGTGACGAAATGAATTGTGGTAAATATTATTCATAGTTAACATTAATTGTAAGCGTTATGCCTATGTTATATTTCTTTGAGATTAGTATTTCATTGAAAGAATGGGCCTAATCGTATTATTTTACCAGGCAAGTTAACAAATATAGTAACATCATTTCAAGACGTTGATATAATAATAATATTATAATTTCTATTATGGAAATAAAATAAAGAAAAATATTCCAAACCGTCTAGTGGTAATGCTATAATTAGGCCTATACAGATACATACAAAAAATAATTTTTTTAGATAAACTCGAAATCGTCTTACTATTATGTTGTAAATATATATAAATACATATTGTGTGAAAAATTAGGCTGCCTCACATAAGTGTATTTTTTCCAATGGAGACGTACGCTACTAAATTATTACGACCGTTACTTGTATCTCGTTAAGGTGAAGAATGTGCCTGGTCGGATTGGTCAGCTTGGTCCCACTGTAACACACAGTGTAATGCTGGGACTCGCGAGAGGTCTAGATTTTGCTCTTGTACTACAGGAGTTTGCGAAGGAGAGAGTGATGAACTGGAGGCATGCCCGGAAATGACGTGTAACCCGGAAGCGAGTAAGTTAGTAGATTTCAATGTAGCCCTATAAAACGTATTAACAATTAACAATTTTTATTGAACACAATGTTTTTTTAAGATATTCATCCGTAAGAAAACGTGTTGCATATAAATTAAATGATCATAGGCCTAATACAACAAAATTTCACCAAACTACAACTACGCAATTTCCATTTTATTTATAGCACAGCAAGGTAGAGCATTGATTTTTCGTTGGAGGTGGGGTGGGGTGCTAATATAAATTGTATATGGTTTGAACACCTACCTCAGCCCCATGGGAGTATCCCAATATGACACGGTTGTGGTTGATAAACTAATATTATATTTTCAGAGGTCTAGTCTTCAAATAAAAGTTTTCAGCCAACTTTCTTAGCAATTATTTTACAGCCACTAAAAACATGGTTGTTGGGTAAAGTTATAAGGGGTACTAAAACCTATTCATGCATCCACGCTTAAATCCGCACATGCACGTATCAGGAAAGTAAAACTGCAGTATATTAAAATACGCGTCTCTTGTTCCTCAGAGCAAGGGTGTGGCGCACGAAACCCTCAGGAAAGGACGCAACGCATTGTCGGTGGTGAGGATGCTGTTGTTGGTTCCTGGCCTTGGCAGGCCCAGCTCTACTACGGCAGCAGTTTCTCATGCGGTGGTACATTGATCGGTAGAAAATACGTTATCTCAGCGGCACACTGTTTTGATAGGTACGGTACAACGCTGGTCCGTTGAGTTTGGCAAATAAATTATTACCGGTATTTTTCAATTTGAAAATATATTTTTGTTGTTTTCTGAAACTACAAAAATTAGCGCTTTAACTATAAAAGTTTAATTAGGTTTAGAGAATAATAAATGAAAATATAAATACTGGAATAAAATGGATCAATGAAATGGATGAATGATGAACAGAATAATAATAATTTTACACCATTATTGATTAGGTAAACCTTTTCCAAATAGATATTGTGTTCTCTCTCTTTAAATCATGTGTTGCTGTTGCACGCCTGGAGATGATTCTCGTACAGCTAATCAACAAGATTTTACAAAATAGGCTTACAGCATATGGGCTAAAAGTGAAAACTTTTGCGAATCAATTATTGATGCATATTGTTTTTTTTGGTTTTTTTTTGGTTTTTTTGATAAAGTGACTCCGCATCTCCTTGGCAAGTGAATCTCGGTAAAAATACTCTTGGGATGAATGTCAATGCTGGCAAAGGGGAGCATGCGGCCAAAGTCGCTAAAATAATTATTCATGAGCTTTACAACGACGCGACAACTGACAACGATATTGCGCTCATGGTGCTTGAAGAAGAAGTACCCGACTCTCCGATTATCAACGGAGCGTGTTTGGATCAAACCGGCAGCCGTGAATTTGGTGGCCAATCTTGTTTCATTTCCGGATGGGGTACAACATCATGTAAGTCAATCAAAATTAATGTTGAGCTTTCGATTATGACGACGGTAGGACGTAAAACGTAATTACTTCACTAAAAGTCATTTGCGCATGCGAGAACGTAAAGGTCACCTCGTCTAGTAGATTCTGGAACGCAATTTGGCCAAATCTACGTATGCAGAGAACGTAGGACGCCAGGTAGGAGGGTCACGCATGAGTGATTCCTTTCTAGCGTCGCGTCGTCCCACAAATCGAAAGCTCCCTTGTTCCCTCCAAAGGGCGCTAGTGTTACATACGTCATAATATCATTTTTATATAATATTTCAATGACATTGATCCAATTACGCTTCTGGGTAATAGGCCTATATGTGGATAAATACCAACAGAGGACCCCACTTCGGTTGGGCTGAGAGGTAGCACACGGACCCTCATCTGTGAAAGTCCCTCTTTGGACCTCTATTTCAAATTCCTGGATCCGCAACTGTAGCAGGTTCGGTGCTTTAAATAGCAGACTTCTCAAGTAATATTAAAATGCATTTCTGTGTAATAATTTGTCTTGAGTGCAAAATATGGGTTGCTTAGGTACAACATAATAAGCTGTGTAATTTCAAACAAACCGGACAGGATGAAACTTCATAGGTCACTTTTTCTTGGTTTTCACAATAATTTATTATTGAGTTGCCTAGGGATAATGTAACCAAAAATCCTGATGGGAAATTTATTTTTGTTCTGGACGCCAGACAATGTAGACTTATTTGTGGGTCTATTCCTAATGATAAATTTCCGTAATTTTGGTCTATTTCCGTACGTCCGTAATTAATTACCATGACAACTACGGACGTTCTGTTCCTAGTGCCTCGAGTTTAGAGCGACCATACCTATGAGTTTCGAACCCTTACACACACAAAAAAGACAGAAAGAAACTAATCGCAGTTTTACCTTTACAGTCGGTGGAAGTGTATCTCAGATTTTGCAAGAGGCATCTGTACCAATTATTGATCGTGATACTTGTAATGAATCCTACAATGGCGACATAACGAGTAACATGTTGTGCGCTGGGTTCCTTCATGGTGGTGTTGACGCTTGTCAAGTAAGACTTGTTTTATATATTTAAATAATAGAGGAAATAATAATAATTTAAAAAAATTGGAGTAGTAGCAGCAGCAACAGCAGCAGTATTACGGTAGTTAGTAGCAGCAGTAGAACGTAGCAGTAGCAACAGCAGCAGCAGTGGCAGTGTGTTAGGAGTGTTTTGATTGTCTAAACATTTTTTTTCTGCAGTCAAGACACGCATACCTATACGCCATTGCTTAAAATGTCTTCCTTCTGTATCTTTCGCAGGGTGACTCTGGCGGACCACTTGTATGCACTTCACCAGATGCAGATGGCCTTGACCATTGGTATCTAGTGGGAATAACCAGCTGGGGTAATGGATGCGCTCTTGCAAACTATCCTGGAGTCTACACAAAAGTCGCCAACTATATTAGTTGGATAAATGAGCAGATAAATAATAATCCATAAAAAACGACGTCGTGATTAGAAATTGTTAGCGTTTATGATATATTTGTTCTTGTTTTTACTTGACCAATATTTACTGATGTTTCACAAGACGTACGGTACCCATCCGATTCGGTGATTTTAAATTTGATGTCATCTGTTATTGTCTGTTAGCAGTGACGGATCCAGCATTTGAAAATAGAGGGGGGGGGGGCAGGGAGGGGCTTTCACAGATATGTGGGTCTGGACCCAGAACATTTATGATAATGGCACCTCTAGATGGCCGGAATAGCACTCGCAGACTTAAATTTGAATACTAGTTTTATTTTCCTCCCACGGACGGCTGGTTCCCCTTATCCGACACTGATTAGTTTATTGACAAACCGGGTCCCTCGCCATGGATTCTGGGAGCTTGAAAGAGCTCCCTCCTCGAGGGCTCGACTTAGTCTACCACACACTTTGTCAGTCGGTCGCCAACCTATGAATCTGGCCGGCGATTTTTTTCTAAGTTGTCCGACAGGGGGAGCTTGGTCTCGTAGGCTGGAGCTGAGGGAAGGGGATGAGAGGGTCCCCCTCCCAAATGAGATTTTTTTTCAAAGAATAGCAACCTCTGGATGGCCGGAAATGGCACTCTCAGACAGTGACACATATGTGTTGGCTTGGTGTGGGCCTATTTTTATATGTTTTATGGTCCTACTGCCCGACGAGCTCTGTCGGGCAGTAGGGCTTGCTCTGTCCGGTGGGGGACTTAAACATCCTGCCCCCCCCCCCCTGCTGGCGCACATGGATCCAATTTTATGATACCCATGTCAGTTGGTCACGAAATTACTGGCAAAAGTAATTTGCAAGTTTTCATTGGTTATGCAAGATAAAGAACAAGTAATATCTGGCTATAACAATTAATCAAAATATATTTGGTTAGAAGGTTAGAAAAATAAACATGGTTAATTTAGAAACATTTGCGTCTGTCCTATTTTAGTTGTCTGAATGGGTTTTTTTTTATTGAGACGTCAAGAAAGCAATTATTTCCCAGTGTCGTCTCTGGATGTTACGTCTAGTTCAGAATTCCCGGCATTGCCTTAAACCAACCGATTTTCCACAATATATTGACAGAATCAATGAAATCTTTGTGTCTTGAACGTTTGTCAAGTAGACTTATTGAATCCCTGTCTCTTATACACATCTAGATGTGTATAAGAGACAGTATATATACTGTATATATATATATATATGTAATGTATATATATATATAATATATTACATACAAACGTATTGATTGTAACCGTGGATCTATGACCAATACGTGGGCCACACGCCTGCGTGTGATGTTCATATGGGGTTTTTTTATAACCTTGATTTATGAGCGAATACGCGTGAAACCCAAGTGGTAAAGTGAATGACGACTATGCTTTGGTCGTGTTGAGCGATGAAGTTTTATTTTCCGACAACGCGGAGGGAGGGCGGTAGCATCCTCTATTATTCGATGATCATCATTATTCTAGTTGTCGTTCACTTAAGTAGACCTACTTGTTTTAGCAAGAACAGAAAGCCTGGACATGTATAACGTTTTATCTATTGATTTCCATGCTTTGTTCAACCGTATAATACACGTCCGTTATGACATGTTCACGCTAGTACAGGCAGTTTTATTATAAATCGAAATTTATCAATACACTTCTTATAGCCAAACACTTTATAATTATATTTTAGAATAATAGTATTTTACTTGCGACATATTGAGAAGAGATTTGTCCACTATAAAGCAAAACTGATTGTTATAGTATATTTTCAAATATAAAAACCGTAGCGAAACTAAAGTAAATTCCTACTAACTTAAAAAAAATCATCCTAAATAACATGGTTAGAAAAGGAAACGAATTTAGTACTGACAAAATTATTGGTTTCACTACGCTGAAATCTGAGAACCCTTTATAAACCGTATGGATGGAATAATGATTACACACTGAACACCAGTCAGAGCATGTGTATAACAATATAAATGCTTGTAAATATTTCATGCACACATAATACACCCCTCTAGACGGACTTTGTTCCGCTATTGCCTTGCTGCCAACAATCAATAATGTTTCTAGGGGCGGTACTTATGAGGGCCATTGTGAAATCGCAATAGCAATACCGGTTGATTGACACAAGAGAAGAATGACAGGAAGCACGTACAAAGACCAAGGGCCATAAGGCGTCCATAGCAACCAGGCTATGCCTCACTGAATACATAGGAGTACTGAAAGGAGACGTATCTATAAACACAAACGTGTGGCTTTGACTTCATCGCGGTTGCCCTTACTATCCTGCCCTTAGTATTTCATTTGCTTCATGACGGTCGAAATCTACAGTTTATATGTGAGTAAAGTGTTATAAATACTATTTTAGATATCTCATAACTAAATTCTTGGAGTCGATTATTCACCATGCAGGACTATTACGGCCAGACTATGACATCCAGCTACTTTTCAGCCCCAAAAGTCGGGATGGGTACCAGCTTCCTTCCGCCACTGGAAAGCACAATGCAGGCGTCCTACAAAAGTTATGCTCCACCGTATACAGTAAGCCAATCGCTAAACCTTCCATGGAAGCCAAGTGTTTACTACCGTGGGGCAGAAAAGTCTATGCCGATAGCAAAAAGCGCACCAGAGTTGAACCCTGCTACATTGTATCGTGACGACGTAGTTTCTAGGGTCCCCCCGTTTGTTACCTCATCGAGAACCGCTCTTTTCTCCAAGTACACTCCGACCGATTGGTTCCGAAGCAACAACCAGAATTACCGCAGCTCTGATATGACGAGAAGCGCCGCACAGAGGCTACGCGACGAGAACGTTCGAATCTGCCACGACACGGACGCAAGGACGGTGAAAACTCAACAGGACACAAGCAAGAGCATTGGTAATAGGATCAGTGACATAAACTTTTGGAAATCAGAACTGAATCATGAGCTGGATGAGATGGGCAATGAGATACAACGTATTGCCGATCACAAGAAACGGTTGGAAACGTCTCTTAGGGAAACAGAAGGCCCACTTAAGATAGCGCAGGAGTGCCTGTTCAACAGAGAGAACAGGCAGGGTATCGACTTGGTCAACGATGCTGTCGAAAAAGAACTATTACGGGTGAGTATTTTTTTAATTTGTTTACACTTGCCGAAATCTTAATGCATAAAATATGAAGTTTTCATCATGTGAGTGGCAATTGTATGAGAGAAAGTAGCTGGGGTTATATCTGCACAGTGTGTGCCATGGTCGTCTGCATTCCTCTCAACAAAAGTAAAAAAAAAACACATATTAATCATAATCCATTGTTAAGCAGAACCTTGGCAGAACAAAGATTATTTTACTCTACTCTTGAAAACAATTGCGGATGGTCCGGTCCCATAGCTACAAAAATAATAATACTGTATAGGCTTACTATTCACCCAACCGACTTATTGAATCCTTCGTACACAAACTATTTGTAGTTACTAATGGATGTGGTGTCTGCAGACAGTGTCTATTTGCACTTTGTTGGCAATTCTCCCAAACAGAACTGTCGATGAACACAATCATGCTCTATACTCACGGAGAGGCAGTGCTCACTTTGTTGTTGCCACTTACGTTACGCTTGTGATCAGTAACCTAATAATTATCTAATTATGACTTGCTAACTTTTCTATTATTTAATAATAGCCATTCTATGCACACAAGAGAAATAATGCACGTTAACCGTTGCCATGACATCCACGCAATACGGTACTGTATTATGTTGAGAAGTACTGTATAACATTCATCATGAAGGTTATAATTCATATTATACTGATTAAGTTAGTCAGTATAATGGCTTTGCATTTTTGTGAATAATTACGGTAGCCATTGTACCTACAAAAACACCACATAATATACACTGCTTCAAACCATTTTTACAGTACATTCATATAACATAGGCCTACAATATATAAACAATATTGAGTGATTATCATGTCTATGATTATTTATAAATATCAAAAGAAATAATTATGTTTATTGAAAATACTCTTGCCTTACAAACTACTTACGCACTTTACTCAAGACGACGGGGAGCCGTTGACAATGGTAATTCGGGTTAAGCGCCCAAATGTTTACTGTGGTCTTCACGCTCTGATGAGTACAGAACCACCCGTCCACCCGTCTTCACGTCCTGTTGTGTAAGGTGCCTAATATTTACAACGAGAGTGCTGTGTCATCTCGGGAGCAGTGAGTGAATGATTCGACATCATAGGCCTGGGTCCTGCAGCTTTGTATAGGCCTATACAACGAATAAAATCTACTAATTATCTTTTAGAAATAAACTAATTAAGCACATTGTCATCTTAATAGTCTTCATAATCATTTCTATCTTTATTCTATCACAACATAAACCGATAATTCAATCCCTGTTAGGGCTAAATTGCTTAGTGAGTAATAATACCACAATGAGCAAACGTCCTCTTATTTGTATCCACTGTACCCATAACATGACGGACTTGACAAATATTGACTGGCATTAACCATATCCTTGTCGGAGACTAACACAAGTGAAATGGCAATTTCAGAGCAGTCACATGTAATGGAATTCGTCAAACAAAGTTGGGAGTCATTCAAGTACACTTTTTCTAAAATATAAGAACATTAAGGCTGAAATTGAATTAAGAAAGAATAAGAACGAATTTGACAGGTAAACTGTCAAATTCGGTTTTCATTATTTTTTAAATAGAAAAACCCACAAGTCTTACCAGTGCAATACGTATTGTACTTTACGTGCAATAGGTGTGGTACATACCCTCTATAATACAGTAGCCTACAGTAATGCACTTCTGTACACAAATAATGTTATTGAAAGAGCGTTATGTTTTCTTTTTGTTTGTCCTTTACGACATAATTACTAAATTCATTCGTCGCCATGTTAGTCCTCATTGTTTTCTTTACTACAATGCACTTCGTTCAACTAATGTAATCACAAAAGAAAATCGCAAAACGTTGTCTGTTTAGTTTACCACTTACAACATCGATATTATTATTAGTCATCAGATTTTTTTATATTTTTTTAGAAAGCGAAGTAAGCAAAAATTTCCAGGAGATTTGATATTAATACTAATATTATTGATAATATTAATAATAATTATTCATAGAAATAAGAATAGGTCATCATTTTCATCATAATTATTGGTTTCATTAACCTCACATGAATGGTTATTATCATCATCATTGTAATACCCATATGTAATTCAAAGGTTCTAATTCGAATTTAACCAGTCTATATTTGTATTATTAGGAGAATTGACGTCAGCATCACTGAACAAGTAGGCCTATGTTATAGTGAAAGTACAATATGCCTAACAAACACTTAACTTCCTACCCACGTATCTGCGATAGGCGATAAAGAAATTCCGATTGCTCGTAGATTAAATATAACTTTGTGTACTGTAACCACGGAAACCGGATAGTCTGTCGCAACACTATATAGTTCGTTTGTCGTGTTAACATGTGTGTTATATCGGAAGATAATATCCGTGATTACACTCGATAAGTTAACTGGTTATGTTAGGTACACACAATAGGCAGCAATAAATTGAACGTTAGCATTTTGCCGAGGACGGCAACCTACATAATATATAATATATATATGTTGTTGATGATGATTGCAGTCTTCAAAATAAAAATTGTAACCTTTGGTATTTAACTACATTTTCCACATGCATAGAAATTTTTGAAACTTTATTTAAAAAAAACCTAAACCATAATTCACCACTATAGACACTTTTTGACAAAAATGTTACTTTGTTACCCAATGAGAAGTGTTCTGAAAGGTCCACTGATTAATCTCAGATAAGAGAAGTGTTCTAATATAGACAATGGGTCGTGTCTCATATTATTTGTTATATTTTTATTATTCATTATTTTCACTTGACTCGCATAAATAATTTTGTTCGAAGAACATTTTAATGTGCAGTTGTACTTCGCAGCACTTCACTTGCAATTTTCAATTTCTAGTATATAATATATATGTTGTTGATGATGATGTTAATGATGATAGTAATGGGGTTTAAGAGAAGAAGGCATGAGTACGGATAAAGCATCGTGGGGGTTAAATATTCCAGGTTGGGTAACAATCGTCGTAAATTAATACATAAACGTGGATATTTCCTCATATTGAGTTGCCACTGAAAATTTTGACATTCCTCACAATTTCCTCAGTCTGGTGCCCAACCAAGCGTGCGGTCTACAACTAACTTGTCATTTATTATCATTTATGTTGCGTATTACATTTCAAGTAGGAATTAGACTTGTTCTGCAATGAAGTGTTATGGCAAGCAAGCCGGATTCTAATTGATAAATTTTCGGTATATATTAGGCCCTACCACAAAGAAAATAAAGTATAAACGTAAACCTACCGCATGAACCCTTTTCACGAGGGTGTAGTAAACACATGACTCATTTGACTGTGGTGGCCCAGCGGTATCGAAGGGTTGGTATAATTGTGTAAGGGGATTCCTTCGTGACGGGATAATTTCATAACACAATAAAGCTTACAATGTTTTTTTTTTCTTATAGGAAGTTGATATTATACATCAGAGTCAGGATAGATTGAGGACCATGATTGACAAAGCTAACGCCCAACTAAGGTGAGCCAGCAGTTGCATAGGCCTATCTAGGGGTGTGCGGGGGGAGGCACACCTCTCCAAAAATTACTCGCGCCCCGCCCTCCCAAGTGGCCCCCCAAAAAAATTACTGTCAAGTAATTAAAAATCACCTTATTTTGCGAATTAGCGCCCCTCAACTGATCATCGAGAGTCCCCGACTTCACCTTCCCACTTCACCTTCACGCCCCCTATCAGTACCCCCATTTCAAGACTTCTAGATACGCCGCTGAGGTGAGCTACATAATAGTAGTTACTTCCTATAGAAAAGACCTAGAAGTACGATAAGATATCTTGAATCCATACAAAGTCATAATAAAATTAATGTAGAAACCGTCAGTTTTTTTTTTTTTTTACTTTAAAATGTCTTGCTGTACTAAATTTCTTAAATAGATTACCAGACAATACTAAAACATGTGAACGATATTAATGTGTTTAATTGGCGGGAAAGATTATATTCTATGTTTATAAGTTATATTTATAGTATAAAATATAATATAATTATGTTGGCATTTATATAGCACTAAGCTAAGTCTAAGAGCGCTTCCACTATTAACCATAATTTATTGGAACGTATTAATTATTGTTTGTTGAAGTTGTGTTTGCGGGTTTTCCAGATTTATCAGAGACAATCTTTCATTTAATTGTTTATTTGACCAAAATACAACATGTTCTAATACAATCAAGAAAAACAGATTCAGAGAATAACTAGAATTGCTCAATAAAGTCAATGGCTCAAGGAATCCCTCCAAGAAAACAAATGAGTTTACATTAACCGTATTATATAACGAATACGGATACGTCATCACATAAAACCCATCCCCTACAGCAGCATATCTGTCAAAACGTAGGATGCATGATGCATGTTTTAGGCACGAATGACGATAAGAAATAATGACGTATTCGTATTCGTTATTCGTTATCGTTGCGAAATCTCCCTAATATTGTACGCATTGTTATGTTTACAGCATGAACCGTGCGGCTCAACATGAACTTGAAAAAGACGTGAATGATAAATTCCGTGCATTCAACATTGATAATAAAAGTCATCAACTACATAACAATGCCCAAGGCATAGCATTCCATCGTGGAGTTGAAGGAATAGACCAAACGTAAGTATTCTCACAATATAAAAGATGAATGTATTGGTTGTAGGCTTGAACCTTTCCGAAGTAACAATTAAACTTAACAACTGACCGGTCAAACTAGGGCCAGGAAGACGCGCATGTCCCACAAAAGCACAAGTTTACACGTGTTTACGCTGTCGTTTTGTGGGACCTTGACAACAATACTGAAAGGACGCGGTGGGTTTAGCGGAACGGTTCATTATTTATAAATAAATCTGTTGGCCTATAATAAATTTTTAAAAAAAGATAATATGAATTCAGCTAGGTCTGTTAGGGAGCAAAACTATTTAATCTTACTTAAGACAAGGGCGGCAGTTTCGTATTAATTGTATAAGATAAGATATACAAATTGATTCCATATATTTAATATATGCCTACAAACAATTCGACATAATTCAGCACAAGAGAGCTTCCATTTGCAATTCTATCAAAAGAACTGCCTGTGAAATATAGTCCAATATCTTTTCAGAGAGATTGCATTATAAGCACATATCTTATTTATGCGTCCTAGGTCTACATACAATTACCATGTTATTATTATTATTATTGTTATTATTATAGATTAATTTCCATCAAGTGACAAATTACTTGCCAGTGATGCGAATTATATAAAGTACAAGCAACACAAAATCAAGTCTACTTTCTAAATAAAGATTGCAATATCTTTTTTTCGATACCAAAAATCAATACACTGTACGGTATATATTTTCAATATTAGCAAGTGAAAATATATTAAGCATTATAATCAACAATGCAACTAAGCAACGTGGTCAATAATGAACGATCTTTAGACGACGCTGGGGGCAAGTTATATATTACTATGAATTACGATATCATTAGCAACTGAATTCTTTAAATTTAACGTTGTCAACGATGTGTCAACGCCATTTTTTGACATAATTTTATACCACAACGTTCACAACGTTAGTGAACGTTTTAATATTAATAACACTATGCATAACATTTAGCAATTTCCAAATTACAAGAGCAATCCATATCTCAATACTGAATATTTAAAAGCCATATTTTTTCTTTATCTGATCACATCCTTTCTTTTTTCGATCCCAGCCCACACCAGCAATTACCCACTTTAGTGATCTTTAGATACCAAGTATCTCGGTCGATGTTACTTAAAATATCATAATATAAAATGCAAAACATACTTGAAATAATATGAGGGCCGGATCCAGAGATGTCCGAAGGGGGGGGGGGGACGGAAGTGGGACCGATCGAGATAACACCACCCTAGGGGTTCCAAGGGCATTCCCCCGCGAAATTTTTGTTTTCTAGATGATGTCCAAAAATAACCTCTGAGGCGTTTTGGGCGATCAATTTATTCTTTTTCTATATTTTTATTTATTTTTTTTTCTTTCCAAATGGTGGATGGCTTAGCCCTCCCCGCTAAATCCGCCCCTGAATAAAAAAAAAATATAAAACATAATTTAACATGCATATGTTGAGAAGAAAAAATAAGCTAAATAATAAGAAACTAGCGATGTTAGACCGAGATGGTATCGATGTCAATAAGTATATTTGTTTACGTATTGGTAAATGATCGTCTGGTGTGTAATAGTCTCTGAATATTTTATCAGAAACCTAATAACTAAACTTTCGTCGAATCTCATCCAACTTCAGTGAAACGATATATGAAATGTATCTTACCGTGCGTTGGTACTGTATTATGCATCTTCAATGTCCCGCGCTTTTGTTTATTCTATTGTTTTGATCGGGACGCTTCTGGTTATGCAGTCAAACTAGAGCATTAGCTGAACTCTTGGATTTTGAAGATGTAGGCCTTACCGTCTGTGATAAAACCTAGAGAGCGCAAAAATTCAATAAAAACATATAATTACTCATCTAGAAGTATCAGATAATTTACCGGTAGGCCTATCGATTTCCAATGAGACACAAATCGATACAATTATGTTTACGTACTTTTCTTAAAAACACCAGCTTCTGGCAATTAAATTCTCTAAAGCTGTGTTATTTTACGGAGACTACACATATTCTACACATATTATCGTTCTTTTAGTATTATAATTCATGTTTTTTTTTTTTAATTCTAGGGTATCTTTGCCGGAATCTTGGGCAAAATTTACTAGCGACAACATTCTGCGTTCCCAACGTGAGCGTAACAATTCGACCCATCTACGAGGTGAGGCAGACAACACCATGCAAGAAACGTCGAATAATATGTGGACGCAGTATAACACTGTCAATGTTTCCTTCAGTGGAAGGATCGCCGAAACAATGGACGCACGTAACAGTATTCAAAGCCACCTTACAAGGGTAAGACATAGCAAAATTTAGTAGGGATCTAGGAATTATAAATAGAGGGGAGGGCGTTTACAGATAGATTATGTAAGGTTGTCTCACCAAATTTTTTTAGGTGGGACGAAATTCTACGTGTGTGTCCAGAGAGCTCTCTCAAACTTAAAGTTGAATGCAATTTTCAGGAATTTTAGGGGGTTAGGCTCTTCTCTTCCCTTGAATCTGTCTGCATTCCTATTAGCCTACTACGTGTATATAAAACTTTTATGTAGTCTTTAAGCTATTGGTCTGTAAGTTTTATATCTTACGTCCGAACCATAATGACATCATATCCGCTGTCTTCTTGTAGGTGCTTCAAGAGATTGACGAAATGCAAAACAACATTCACGTCCTCCGTAAGTCAATTTATGACAAAGAAGCACCACTACAGGTTGCCCAGTCTCGTCTAGACAACAGGACAAGGAGACCAAACGTTGAGCTTTGCCGTGATCAACCTCAGCACAAGTAGGTTTATTGCAAATAAAGTTTATTGCAAATAATATTTATATCACATCGATGCGTCACACGATAATGCGCATTTAACATTGCTATGCAACCAATCACAGGATGTCAAAGGATGCCGATAGGTTATCATAATGACTTGAACACGAATATAACTTTCATCCAAAAATTAACTATATTGGCTGTATAATAAAGTTGATAATTTATTTTAGAGTAGAATTTAGATAAATTATTTAATGTTATTTGATAATTTCAGACTTGTCAGAGAAGTTGGTGAACTTTACGAGACAGTTGATATTCTACAGAATCGTCTACGAGCTGCCGAGTGTGCACTCGGCGAACTTGTCCGCACCAAGTCAACTCTAGAACACGATTTGTCTGTGAAAAACAACAGTCTATACGTAGACAAAGAGAAGTGTATGGGAGTTCGAAAGACGTACCCGACCACCGCCAGACTCGCTGGCTATAGAGGGCAGTAAAGTGACATTATGGAAAGCATGGTAATATTAATAATTCCATAAATCCAGAATCGTATTCCAAAGATTACAGCGTTAAGACCAAATAATTTAGAATTTCATCAATGAGTTTGATTCCAAAGCAGATGATTCATCGGCCGAATTCTGATTTATCTCTGCTCTGCAATGGCGGATCCTGGAGAGGGTAGGTGGGTGGGGGTTTGTGCCGAGTTATAAGGGGTTAAGGTTGGTGTTTTTGACCATTTTGCAGGTCCAGAAAACTAAGCCTCCTGGAAACTAAATGATTTTACACTATTTGGCTGTTTCAAAGATGGGGCGGCCCTTTTGTCACCCTTCATCAGCCACTGCTGTAGCAGATTGTATGGTGTTCTTTGGTCATAGAATTATATATAATTGGATGTGCACTCCTAATAAGAAATGTATCACTAATATTTAAATATTCTCCCTCATGCACAGTACACTCATTTTGCAAATAAACTCAAAATTAAATAGCGGTAAATTGCTTAAAGGAAACGGTTATAACACGTTTGAAAGGATTTTAAAGGTATAAACAGTATTTATAAGTCAATCGTGACGTCATAATTTTTTTCAAGCATTAAATCTAACTAAAATCAAATTACTAATTGCTTAATATTATAGGCCTATAAAATACAAAATGATTGTGCTATTAATAATTATTATGATTCTCTTCGACCTTTAATAATTATTTTTTTTAAATAACGATAGGGCGTTGGTAATAAATTAAATGTAACAAAAGCAGGGACGGACTGGATTTGCAACCAACGTATACGTTTACGTATGTAATTTCGTATGAAACGCCATTTTGTCAATTCAGGGCAGATTTGACACGACGCATCTGCACTAAAGGCACTAATGGCGTTCCATAATAATGATACTTTATAATAATGAACAAAACGGACTTGTGCAAATGTGTTATGCTAATACTAAAATATAATTATAATGTACTTTTTTCTATGCAAAATATAATTTTCGATGGATATAATGCACACAATATATAACTATGCTCGTGATTAATTTAAAGCCAGGTCATGGCGTCTTTAATATAATATGTAGTTAGTATATCATTCATCATCTCAAAATTAGCAGTTAATGATATCTTTGAAGTGTGCAGCACTGTGGCATTATGTAAAATAGATTGTTAATGTGTTGAATATATTGAAACATTTTGTGAATGTTGAGATAGCCAGCATATCAGATCTCCGTCCATATCGTATAAGCATTTCACTCAGCGCTTATGCTGAGTAAATATGTCAATACATCTACGTCGTCATGTTTTCTTTGTTATTGCGTAAATTAGATTCTATATTTTTCTACGCTTGTTTTCGTCGACGTTTACTATTCTATTGTGGAAAAAAGCAAGGGGAGATATTTAGGCCTGTTTAAGTAATTCACAACAGCACTGCAAAATGATGGGTATTTTAAACATTTTTAAAGGAACAAAATTGAAACAGAACAATAGGATTCACTTTTAAAGACTTGTTTTATACGTCAATTACTTGTCTGCTCACATTCTATTTTGCAGCATATGAACTTATTATATTTGTCATGTGTAAGTCTATAAATATAAAGTAAAAAATTCGTAGTCTGAACTGCATATGCCCGTATCAGATCAATCGACATAAAGACACACCACATATACACACAACATATGTTTATGTCGATTGACCTGGGATACGGGCATGCGCAGTGCAGACTATGAAATGGCTTATTGGCAATGTTTGAAAAATGATACGGTATCTTAATTGGTTGATATGTACATATTGATCGTGAAAGCCTAACCGTATTGCATTATGGTTTTGAACAAAATATTTGCCGTGAGAACACTGTTAAAATTGTATAATATTTGAATAATAAAAGTACTACACGTTTGGAAATGTCGTCTTAAAAAAGACTGAATGTCCGTTATTCTATCTGTTCATTCATTCATTTCATTTATTTATTCGACCAATACACATTTACAAGAGGTACAGTACAACAAAAATGATGGTCAGGGGCAGCTTAAGCAAAATTTTACCATGACAACCAGTAATATCGATAGTATTATTAACATATCGATTCGTATCAAATTATTCGCCAAAGAAATTTCGTATATTTATTTACAAGAAATCGAATATTATCGAGGTTAGTTACCTAAACAACACGCGATGAAAAGTTATTGATTTTAATATAGCTTAATCCTATCCGTAATTATTAACGGCAAACATACATTAAAAAACACTGTAATCGAGGTTATATTCGGTAAAGTTATGTAGACCTATATATTTGATTCTCTGATTGTTGTGGTTTTACATATACGAATTCAGGAGCGGACATCCAGGATGCTTATGTTGGGTGGGGGAGAGAGTAGGGTAGGCGAGGGTGTGAATCGCCAGTCAAGGACATATGATCCAAAGGGAGGGTTTGCAAAGAGGGATCATTCCCTTTCCTATAATAGTTGTCAATGGAGCTAGGCCCTCATTTTTGCTGCTCTGGTGGGTGTGAACGTCCCTTTCGGATCCGCCATATGATTTTGCTACATTAACCTCAACATGGTCCTCCTGGATGTCGCGCTCGCGGGCGATTGCATTGATTTTGGTCTGAGTTTAAAGGATGATGCCGGACAGCGGACTGACCTCGATATCCCAATACACGTAACAATAATAGTACTGGTACATAATGTACTCGAAATATTCCAAAATAGTCGTATTTCAAATACTAGCAACGGCTCTTCAATCAACTCATCGCAGCCACTCAAAGGGATGAAGGGTGCTGGTATTAATTTAGAATACGTGGAGCTAGCTATATCTTTTAAGGAAGATTGATCGCATCATCATAAGTGGGCGGTGCAGGTTGTGTTTGGTCGTGCTGCTCCGATTGGCTAAATGTTTCACAGGCAACACTCTGATACGTGGGAGGCGGTGGCTCATTTGTTGGCGGTTGTCTCTGGGTCGAATCAAGACTGTTATAATCCGGTAAACTCCCGACAAGTTGTTCATGTTGAACCAGAGGAACAGTTGCCGAAACACTAAGAGCCCGATTAGCAGACAAACTTGACGAACTGAACATGGATCTTTCTGAAGTTACTGTGTTCTGGATATTTGTCCGCGCTGGAGTAGTTGAATTCCTAGATGAATTTGACCTGATCACTCTGTATCTCTGATATTCCCGGACCCTATCAGCACGTTCAATATCACGGATTAAATCATCCTGACATCGCTTCAATATCAAACCAAGACAGGTTAGCACAATGCCCGCTGCCACTGGAACACCGACAAAAAATGCAAAGTAAATACTTATTCTGGCTCCACAAACTGTTCGAATTCTGTTCGTATTTTCCTTAAATTGTACATCTTGTTCAATTACAATATCGGCGGTGTGTAGCGGTATTGCCAGATTACAAAATGTTGTGTTCACACAAGAGTCTACAATATTCTCCATTTCGAATCTCGCCCTATCAAAGATAAATTTCAGCGATAAACTTGCCTGTGGTGTGTAACTATACTCCAATGTGTAGGCGAAATACACGATGTCCGTTGACGAAAACGTTAAATGAACTTTAGTATCCCCATAAAGACAAGGATTGAATATCTCTCTGCGACTGTAGCATGACGAACAATCCTGACTATCATCTTGCCATTTCTTATAGTTCTCATCTCCATGAATAACATAGAGTATGGCATAGGTTACTTGATAATCATTTTGAACACAACCTAGAATGCTGAAAGTGTCAGTGTGATCAAATGTATGTACAATATATAGATACGAGCCGTAATTAAGCAAAATTGTTTCATGTAAGGTATAGCGTAGCCGCTCTCTTGATCTCATAGGTTTGGTCATGACAGCAAATGAGCTAAAGTTCTGGGGGTGTGACGACGCCGATGTGAGGCTCAAACTGGAACAGAACATACGGGAAAATCCGTTATCCTCGTTTTGAGATGAATCATCCGAAAACTGTATTTGATCTCCATTCCCCACCAGATATGTGCTAGGTCCAAACGAGCCGAATCTTACGATAAGTGCCATGAGAAGGACCGTGGTTGAGAGTATTACGATAATCATGACGATTTTAAAGGCTACCGGTAGACCACGGCATTTGTAGTAGCAGTTACGGCAACTCGGAGAACATTTATCGCAATCGACGATTTCGTGAAGGGGAACCTGCCATTCGTAGCCCTGCCATTCCGATCTGTCCCCATGCGTCTGGGGCCGACGTTCCGACCCATTCGTGGTGGTAGTCATAATTTCAAGTGAAAAATTACTACAATGATAGTAAATTAACCGTTAACACATGCCCTGCATTACGTACCGTATTATTTACTATGGTACCCGGAACGGTGGTTGATCCACCAAGTTAATAATCAGCCGACACCGTCACATGATTAAGAGCTGTTTGAACTTTGAGCTCCCGCCGGTGTCCGGATTAAGGATAATATTAGGATTGAAGTCACATGATCAAAACGAATGTAGGTCATCAAGCTAAACTACAGTAACAGGATATGTAGCCCTAACTACTTATATATATATACACAACGATCACGTCCGAAAGAAGGAGTTTGTATTGCAGCACTGTAGTAACTTCTATTCATTTGTTTACCTAGAAACTAAAGTAACAGTTTCATATGAAAGGAGACTGTACTTTATAGCACTTTGTTTAATAAAATCGTGTATTTCTTTTAAGTATACAAATCTATATAAACTTTAATTGCCCTACGCAAAATTCATACACATTGAGGGCGTTGTACATAATTCAGGTTAGAAGACGTCATAATCTACTACCTGAATGGCTTAATTTTCAATTTATTAATTTAAAATCGGAACGAGAAAGAATAATCGGCAACGAAATTAATAGACAACCGTCACATTGACACTTAAATTGGTACTGTAAAGTGTAATAAATTTTTGTATTAATAATGTCTGTAATTTTTTTTATCTATTCTGGTTAATACTGTAGTTACTTTAGCTTATTGTATCCTTTCAAATGAGCTATTCAAATAATTGAAGTTTTTGTGTTTTTTCCAGCTTTAATTATTTTTTATTGATCAAAAGTATAAAATAAAATGTTAATTATAATTACCGGTAAATAAAGACATAAACACAAAAATAAGTTGTAGGTAAAGTATTTATTACAAAGATACAACAGAGCTTTATTGCTTTCTCATAAAAACTGTAGGTAATTTTTAATTTTTTTTATTACTATTATTATCTAAAATCTTTGACAGAAAATACAGAGAAAAACAAGAAAGGTACTACTATGTGTTTTGTAGTGTATACAGTAATTCAGGGGACATAGTAAAAGGGAGCCCTACCCACCCCAATAAGCAGCCAAAAAAAAAATCGCTCACTAAGAATGAAATCCTCTTAAGTGATTAATATGTTTAAAACTTAGCATTCTTGAGCACACAATTATTAAAGAAATACTCCCTCAATTTTTGCACCATAGGTCCTTGATCAGAACTCCACAGATCAAAACAAAACACCTATTACGACCTTAAAGTATGAGGGCGCTAATTAAATAAGTTTAATCAGCCGCTGCAGTCTTTTACTATGTGATCCACATCATCAAAGTGTTCCACTTCTTTTAATGTATGCTCTAGAATGTCATCAAGCCCTTTGAACTTGAAATAACCATAAAATTGTTTACTTTCTAGTAGCAATGGATACCACATCACATCATCTGGCCACATGCTGCTGAATGGAATCTCATTGTCTCCAAACCACTGAGGGCGCATTTCTGAAAAGAAAATGACACTCACATTTATTAACAGATGGTAATACAAAATTTACATTATTTTTTTCTTTATAGGAAACCAAAAGTATTGTTGTAAGATTAATGGTTTTCAGGTGCAGAATAGAGATTAGAATTTAAAGAAAGAACACAAATCATCATCTGTTCACTTAAAAGATAAAAAAAAATGGGAAATAAACATGTGGATGGATCACTTTCTTACCTTCTGTTTCACCTGGTTCTCCCTGGTATTCGGTAGCTTGAAAAACATGAACATTAAGTATTTGTGGGTCGCCAACAAACTCAAAATCAATGCGACCTACTTGCGTGATCTTGTCCAACTTTAAACAGCTCTCTTCAAGTACTTCCCTATGGCAAAAATAATAATTAATTACAATTTTAAAATACTTAATATTGAACCGAATAATCCATACCCATATTATTGAATCGTTAATAACTTTGGATGGTTCAGTGTAGGGAACAGGCTTAAAAACTCAAGGGACAGGTGACCTTGTAATCATATTCTCAAACAGGTTAGTACAGTACTCAAAATTACTGTTATTTGCGATTTTCTTGTATTTTTTACATAGGAGTGTTGTCCAAGAAGCAGAGGACAAGTGAATATTACTACAAAGCTTCTCCTCACCAGGTTTCTTGAAATATCAATGTAAATTTTTATGCAATTCAGTTTGTAGTGCCAGATCAAAATGTTCTTAATAATAAACTACGCCACGGTAGAATGAAACGAAATATATTGTTTTAATTTTAGCCTAACTGTACCTTTTTGCACCATCACGAATAGTTTCGCCGATATGTACTTTACCACCAAACCCATTCCATCTACCTTCTCCAAACCCTCGTTTTTTCATGCCCAGTAGTATACGTTGTTTTACCAAATCACGAATTAACACAAGGGTGAATACCTTTGGTGGAACAGCAGCCATGACACAACTCTGGACAAACAGAAAACACAATAAACAGACTGAAGTAAGTTTTAAAATTTTACTTCAGGTGCATCTCATATACAAATATATCATCATCATAGGTATGACTTAAAAAAATGGGATAGAAAAGAAATTTATATGAAAATTTAAGTCTGACAGGGCCATTTCCATCCATAGAGGTGCCATCATAAATGTTCTTACCTCCAACCATGGTGGTGGGGCATAGGCCTAGTGGTCTAGGCCCTCCATCTAAGTTTAAGTTCCTCCCCCCCACCAACGTTCGACACGCCACCGCACGCAGACCTCCCAGAAATTACTTCTTCTAACTTGGGACCCCTCCTGTTGTAGGGTAGATACTTGCTCTAGGCTTCCCTAGCCTGGTCTAGCCAAAGCCCCCCCCCCCCTACAGCGGATGATCCGCTACAGCCCCAGCCGGGCTATGCAAGCCATGGAGGCTAAAGTCTAAAGAGCAATAATAGCCAGTAAGCCCTACCCCATTTGGTTGGATTGCAGCAATGCTAGGCCTAGCCTAAATGTATAAGTTAAATAAAGAAAGCTCATGCTAACATGGTAACCAGTACGACCACCATAAACACTATTCATTCAATATTCAACTAGGGCTATGCTAATAGGGTTTTTTGAAGAACAACGCTACACTACAACAATGGACAAAACAAAAAATAATCTTTCCAAACCTTATCGTTCGCGCGTTTTCAAAATACTACCGCGTAAATAGAAGCTTCGGTCAAGGTTCAAAAGTTTCCAATTTAGCAAGAGGGCGCCAGTACCGTTACGATTTTTAATCGTACGGGAAATCCACTCACGATGCATTATAGGCCATTTGGCCGACATAGGA